TCCATGGGGAACGGAAAAAAATGTGCCAATCATGGACCAATCATGGAAAGACGGGAGGGAGCGGGGTTTCTCCAACTTCTCGAAATTTCGACATGACGCTGCAATATTGCACGAAAATAAATGCCTTGATGTCGTGGATAGTCCCTCTCCACACTATTCCAACGCGAAGCCAATGCTATCGATAGCTATCTATCAAACCTGCGAGTCAGCAACGTGCTTACGGCTTACGAAAGCTTCACGGGGCCACGGCCTGCAAGGCCTCCTTACGATATAGATGCAATGATCATCCAGTAGTACAGTCGTGTTCTCACCTCACCACCGAGATAACCGCCACCATAGGTTGCCGGTACCACCGCAAACCATAAGTACATACAATCGCCGCTAGATGTCTCACCTCGTCCGGGTCCGTGAGCTTGAACTCCCAGCCGTCGCCGGTCCACGAGATGAAGTTCTGGCACGACTTGTCCGTGAGCAGCTCCAGCAGGAACTGCCACAGCTGGATGGGGAAGAGCCGGTGAAGCAGGGGCCGGCGCCGGAGGACGGGTACGCGCCCATCAGCGGCGGCTTGACGTCGCCCTGCAGCGGCGAGGCGCGGTGGTGCGGCGGCAGGAAGGCCGGGTGCGGCGGCCCGTGGCCGGCCATCAACTCCGGGTGCCACGCCTCCGGCGGCGCCTGCGGCACCGTCTGGTAGTGCGCGTCGTATCCGGCCGCGTAGTGCGCGTCGTACCCGTCGTAGCGCGACGCGGGCGGGTAGAGCTTGTGCGGCGTGCGGTACTTGAGCTCCAGGCTGGCGTTGGGGTAGAACTCGGGCGAGCCGGTCTCGCCGTACGGGTGGTGGTGCTGGTCGGCCATGTGAGGGTACTCGGGCTCGTAGTGCTGCGGCACGTACGCCGGCGGCTCGTCGCCCATGCCCTGCATCGGCTCGGCCATTTGCGCGCCGTACGCACCTGCCGGCGGAGGAGGCGTCGGTCAAGCTACCGTCCGGGGCACAGCGGGAGGGGAGCAGTGTCTCACCGTGGGCCAGCGACCAGCGGAAGAAAGGGACAGCGCCGAACACGTCATGGGGGGAGGATAGGCTGTGGCAGGTGTGGTAGCCACCGCCACCGGAGTCTCTCAGGATGGACGCAGGTTTTCTAATCTGCCATCGAATATGGCTCGGGCCATTTGCTTCGCCACGCAAACGTTTCTGAGCATGCTCCACCTTAGGTCACATCTCGGTAGAACGCTCCACGACAGATCAGCCGCTCCAAGAAAGGAGGCACATTGGTCACATGGCCGATCAGCGGGGCAGGACCGCGGGAGTTGTTCGTCTTTAAGGAAGGCTTACATTACCAGGCAACAGAACGAACTCAGAACGAAGAGCAACAGAACGAACTCAGAGGCCGAGAACAGGGACGGTACTGAGGCGCGCCGACTGCGAGAACGGGGAAAGACCCGGACGAATCCGGCCGAATCTCAGCGAGCAGATAGCGAGCCGTTATGTTATCGTCCGCGCAATCCGTTCTCCACGCCGATGACAGCCGACACGCCACCATCGGTCCTCCCCACCCTCTCCTCCCGCACTGCTCTGCACCGCCAGAGCGACACCCGTCACCGGTCCGATGACACGATACGGCGGGCGCCACCTCCGCGCTGCCGCCGCCGCCGCTGCCGGCCGGCACAAAGCCCGGCCCGCCCAGCGCGACCGAGTGGCACCGCGATGACGCCATTCGGCAGGTCGGTGTCACCGGCGAGATCGCGACACCACGGCGGCGCCGCGCGCCGCCGGCGCCGGCGGAATGTAATCCCGCGCCGGACAATGGCGGCCGCGCGCGCGCGACCTTGGCGCCGGCTTTTAATTAGATCGCAAACAGTCGCCCGCCGCCGCAATTACAGCGCCAAAAAACGCCGCGCGCCGCCAGGCCGATAAATCAGCCGTTTCGGCGCGAGGCGACGCGGCGCGCCGGTGGCGACGAGGCGACCCAGCGTTGCGCCGCGTCGACGAACGCACAACGGCGCCGTCGGACGCCCCCCCCCCCCGCCCCCGAGGCCACAACCAATTCACAGGCGGTCGTCGTCGAGCGGCGGCGCGGCGGAAGTGGCGGCACCGGCGGCGCGCCGGCGGTGCCAACGGCGCCGACGCGGCGGCCGTCTGACCTCCGGGGTCCGGCCGGCGGCCACTTGTGCCGCCGCTCGACGGCTGCCGGCGGCAGCCAGCTGGCGCCGGCAGCGACGCCAGCCGCGCCGCCGCTCTCGCTGTTTGGGCCTCCGTCAGTCACTGGCTGCGCCGCCGCCGCCGCCCGCCGCCCAGCAGACTGGGCGGCCTGGGCGCCGCCCGGCCCGGCCCTGGGGGGCGCCGACCCTCCGGTTGTCATCTCAACGGCCCGCCGCCTCGCCGCGCGCCTCGGCCCTCTGCGTCTGTCCCGGCCTCGGTCCTTTATCCAAGGACACCCCCTTGCCACATCATCTCGTCTCCTCCAGTACAGCCACGACGCACTAGTACTTTTACTGTGGTCCTTTCCAGCCCATAAGTGCTCGATGGTGCAACCAAAGTGATCTCATTCTCCGGCGCTGTCACCTTCCGCCGTCCGTGAGGGATCCACCGTTCACAGCGGCCTATCTGCTCCTGCTTCCCGGCGGGACGGGAGCGAACGCCCCGCCCCTCCCCCACCCCTCCGCTCGGCAGCTCCAGTTACCCTGGATTTAACCCTTTTCCCACGGCAGCAGCGGCCGGCCAGCCCGTCGGCCCGGATCATATCCGGCGGTGGCCGGCCCGATCAGCTGTCGGCGCAGGGCCGGCGTCAGGCACCCCGCGCGGGGGCGCCCCCCGCCCCCTCACCGCGGCCTGCCGCGCCACACCGCCACCAGCGCCGCGCGGTGCCAGCGTTTCTCCGCCGACGCCCCCGCCGACCAGTGTTTTCGGCGGCGATAGGCGAGCGCAGTGACAAACCGGCAGCGGGCGTTGGCGGGCGGCGGCGGGCGGCGGCGGGCCCGCGGATCTGCCCCACCGGCGGTCCGTGGAAGCGGACCCACATTCGCGCGCCGGCCAATCAGGCGCTTCCGGCGCGCGCTGTTGACGCGCGCGGCGCGCTGTCCGCGCGCTGCGCTGTTTGATCGCCGGTCGCTGCGCCGCGCGAGCCGCGCGCAAACAGCGGAGAGCGGGCGGCGGGAGGGGCCGCGCGCCGCGCAGCCTCCCGGCCTGCCGTGGTGGAACGCGCCGCGCGGCCCCACCGACCTAGCGCGCCAATTCCGCTCATTTACGACGCCAGGAGCGCGTGCGGGCGGTCGCGCGGGTAAGTTACACAGTCATGGGCGGCGCGGCGGCGCGCGGCGGGCGCAGCACGTGCTCCGAGGTCGGCCGGCGGATCAAAGAGCGCCGCCGCCGCGGCGCGTTTGATCTGCAACCGCCAAACACTGAACAACTCGCTGTTTGTCCTTTTTAGCAAATGAAAACATTTAAATCCAGACTGTGCTTACATTCGAGTGGAAAAAGCGTCGGCGGCGGCGGGTTGGAGCTGCCGCCACGACGACTGCAGCGTGTGACGTGATCGCGTGCAGACAGGTGGGGAGACCATCATGCCACGTCAGCGCCCCGCCCCGCCCCGCCCCGCCCCGCCCCCGCCCCCGGCCACAGGTGAAGAGGTCATCCCGGTCGGCGCGTCAGCTGCCAGGTCTAATCCAGGCCCGCTGCACAGAAGGTCGACCCGAGGCTGAGCGCGCCCGCTCAAGCTGCGTCACCGCGCTGACTGTCCGTCCGCTGACAGCCGGCGGAGGACCCTGCACACGACGCCGTCCATGCACCGACCGTCCCGCCGACACCGCTGATCGTCCCGCTGACCGCCCGCTGACACCGCTGACCGCCCCGCTGACACCGCTGATCGTCCCGCTGACCGCCCGCTGACACCGCTGACCGCCCCGCTGACACCGCTGACCGTCCCGCCGACACCGCTGATCCCGCTGACCGCCCGCTGACACCGCTGACCGTCCCGCGACACCGCTGACCGTCCCGCTGACACCGCTGATCGTCCCCGCTGACACCGCTCTGACCGGCTGACCGTCCCGCCGACACCGCTGACCGTCCCGCTGACACCGCTGACCGTCCCGCTGACACCGCTGACCGTCCCGCTGATACCCGCTGACACCCGCCGCCGGCGCCGGTGAAGAGTTACACATTAAATCAGCTGGATCGCCGGCAGCCGGCGCGGAATACTTGCCACCGGTGTCGCTCAATGGCGACAATGGGCTCCAATCTGCGCAGTAACAAGAGGCTTCCGGCGCCTGGTACCGGGCTGTGGCCGAGGACGAAAAACCAGCCGGCGACAGCACATGGGAATGAATGGGCGGCGCCACGCCGGCCGGCCGGCCCCTCTCAATGGAGTGTCGAGTCCATTCATCAAAACGGGCCCGGCCCGGTCCACGGGCACAAAAGGCGGCTCAAATTTGTCCCATCCATGAAAGTGCGGCGTGTTAAATAAACACCGTAAAATTGACGTCCGAGCGGACAAAGGGCTGGGAATTCCTCACGGGGTCGGGCCGTGACTGGCGCTCGGTGCACTCCCTCCCCCTGCCCTCCCCCCTCCCCTTCTGTGGCGGTGGGCCCTCCGCCGCAGATGACACGGCGGGGACACAGGGCGTCACCGCGACGGACCTCCGCGGAGATGGGCGCTGCCCGGAACAAAGGTGTCGTGAGAAACGCTGTCCGGCCGCCGGCGTCCAGCTCCAGAGTTCGATGTGGCGAGGGACGCCTCTGCGGCGGCCGTCCGCCGCTTCGCGCATCTGCATGGGAAACGCGGACAAGCCGCGGCCAACCACACAAACGCAAAACCTGCTGACGTGCCCACGGCCCGCTCAGGCTGTCGATGAAGACTCAGGGAGCGCCAGAGGCGTCAGACGTGTCAGGCGTGTCAGCAGTGTCAGCGGCGTCGGCAGTGTCACGACGCCGCAGCCCACACCTGGTGACGGGTGTCGGACTCCGTGAGCGGACTCCGGTCCGCCTCTTCCTCGTCGTCGGTGCCCAAACGCCCGTCCGCGCCACTAACGCCACACCGCCGACCGGACAGGTGGGTGCGTGACCAATCCCAGTCGCCTCCTCCGCTAATGTCCCCCGGTTAATTCCGACTTCCTGTCGCTAATTGTGTCCTGCAGCACAGGCAGTTGGTAATTATCGTACCTATCTCTACGCAGCCTAAGGGTGGTATGATATTGTTGAGTGGATGATTTAAAACTGTAATAAGAACCGGAAGTCTGCTCATACTTAAAACAACAAAGCCACTGATATTTCATCTGTAACTAATAGCATTGTAATATAATCTGAGCAGCACAGGCCATAAACGTGAAGACAAAACCATTCTATCCCGATGACTTCTCAAAGAGAACCTCTACAATCCCACGTTATTAGTAACTGCATTGTATTCGTATTTCCGACATTGTTGTGTCCGTCACACAATGGAAATCAGATTACACATGTTCCCCTACCAAAGCGGGTTCGACCACCCCTCTAAACCCCCCCCCCCCCCCCCCCTCCTCCCTCCGAGCCTATCGTCCGTTCCGGTGGCTGCCCGGCCCAAATCAGACGCTGCCCCAGGCCTCGGCTAAGTCCCATGCGCCGGGTCCGCCGCCGGGCCAGCGGGGGAGTAAACGCGCACTTCCGCCGGAACTTACCCACCTCGCCTCCCTCCCCACCTTGAAATTGGCGCGCGCGGCAAAAACGCCTCACACCTGAGCGGCGGCCACGGTGGAGCGGAGGGTGGCGCTCACGCCTCACGCCTCACGCCTCACGCCTGGTGCGCAGTGCGCTGGTCCCGGTGGCGCACCACTCCAAGGCGCACCACCTGCGCCGGTACATATCACGCAATGTCACGGGTCACAGTGACAGGTCGCCGGCACCTTTACACCACAAGAGAATGTGTCGGGCCTGTCACATCGAGCGCACATGGGCCGCAGCAGAGTCACGAGACACCGCCAGCAAAACTTCGACGGGACAGGGCTGGTCTTTACGGTACTTTGGAAGCAATGGGCTTTTATACTCGCCGTCCAAGGACCTCCTCTGACGCGAGAGGGGACCGATTGTGCCTCGTCAGGCTGATGGCCCTGACCGGGGCCCCTCCCGGGCCGCGAGGGCAAACAATGCCGCCCGGACCCCATTCATTGGGCGCCCCACCTGCGAGAGCGAACGACGCATAGGAATCGGCGCGACCTTACACTTCCGGCGCGCCGCCGCCGGCGCGGCCGGGCGCAACGTCACGCCCCCGGCGTGCGCAAAAAACGCCCCCTCGGGCGGCGGGCGCCGGCGGCTACCGCCCGGCGCGGGGGACGGCGAGGGGCGAGGGACGGCTGGCAGACGGCGAAGGAGAAACGGACGGGCGCCATCTGGTCAGCGGGCGGCCGGGGCAGGGGAGCGGGGCACTGGAGCAGGCGGCGCCGCGCGCACAACACCGCCGTCCGGCCGATCGGCCGCCGCCGGCGCTGCCCCACTCCCGCCGCGACGGACACCCGACCCCAGCGCAACCGAGCGGACGCCCGAGACTCCGGCGCGGGCGCGGAGAGCATACCTGCGCGGGCGAAGAGGTCGGCGGCGAGCCGCGGGCCGGCGGCCAGGTCGTGCCGCCAGTCGCGCCTATGAGCCGTAATCATGGCCACCGCGCCCGTCACGTCACGTCGCGTCACGTCCCGTCACGGCCGGCGCAGGCGAGCGGTGCGTGGCGCTCGGCGCGCGCGCTGACCGGAGTGTGCGGCGGCCGACGGACGCCGCTCCGACTCACCCGTGCCCGCTTCCTGTCATGGGCGCCGGCCCATTTCGGATAGCACACTTCCCATACTCACTGGGTCATTGGAGCCAACGATATCGCCGCCGGTAGCCGAGACGTGTCAGCGGCCGGCCCCTCCGCTGACCCCGGCGACCTCGCTGACCCCACGCTGACCTCGGGGCGCGACCCCGCCAGCGCCGGCCATTGTAGCACGACCCGCCGGCCAAATGGCCAGGAGCCCAACAATGCGCAGCCCGCGAATGAAGATATGTGTGTGTAAGTTCGTTCGAGGGCCGCATTACCGCGATTTAATTAGAGTGCGCTGCCCCACTGGCGGGTTGACGGGGGCAGGGCTCGCGGTGCGAGGACTTCTGCACAAAAGTGGGCCGGTCAGCAGCCCCGTGCATGAGACGCAGTCGACTTGAGCGCGGGATCCACGGTGACAAAAAGGCCTGCAGTCAATGGTGCTGACTCGCCGAGTGAAACGGAGAATCGTTGACGGTGCAGACAGCCAACGCATGAATCCTGGCTTTCGGACCCACTTGCCGTCGGCAAAAAGAGTCATTTCGTGCTTCGCTGCAAACACATTTGCCGTTTTTGCCACCCATGGCACAAAGAGCGAGATCGTGCTCCAAAAAATCGGCCGCTACACAAGCTCCGCCGCTTTTTACAGGTAGGCCCCGCCCAGGGGCGCCACCCCCATGACGTCACGCATCCGGTGCCGCACAACATCCGGCCATCGGCTGCGCTCGTGGTGGCTCGTTAGGGAGAGGGTCGTAATAGCTCGGCTACTGTTTTACTGGGGGAGAGGCGGCAGCGCTGTCCTGGGAACGGCCCCTCCGCGCGCCGGGGACGACTCCTCGGCGCCGGAAACGCCGCGAGCGCCGGCTGCCGCCAGCTGGCGCCCGTTCCCACGAGCCGACGTAACCCACATCTCGACGGCGACGACGGAGCAGCGACGTTCGACGGCCGGTTTCACTTTCGGAACGACGCGGCGCGGAGACGGCGCCGGCCCGGGTCCCACGGCGCCGCGTGACGCCGCGTGACGCCCCGTGGACGCCCCGTGGCGCCCCGTGACGCGTGGAAACCCAGCGGCTGAGCTGGTGCTGCGATGGGACGCGGTCTCTTCTGCCTTCACGGCGGTAGCATGAAAGGCGTCCGGGTGTCAACAGCCAACACACACCGCTCCGCCACCGCTGTACTGTGACGAGTCGCGCGATACATGCTCCGACGCAGCGGTGATTCAATGTGAAGGAATGTGTCACCACCGTGTCGCCATGAGCAGTGCAGCGCGGACAAAGCGGCGACTGGCGCGCGCTGAATAGTAAGTACGCCCGGCGAGTGGACAGGTCTGCCGTCACACCTCGACGCGCCACCGCACGTGCCTCTCCCCGGCGTGCACAGCCGCCTGCACCCCACCCCGCCCGCCCTCCCGCCGATGCACGGCGCGCGGCCGGCGTGCTGTGCAGGGCACCCACCCCTCCGTGCTCCGCGTGCGTCGCGCCCCGCGCCGCCGGCCGACCAGCCCACTCGCCGCGTAGGGGAGGGCGGAGGCGTGCGCCGGAAAACAAAGACACCCGGCCGCGGCAGCCAGGCGCATCCCCCCTCAAGACGCCGGCCGAGGGCACCTGCTGCCCACCTGTCAATTCCCCCCCCCCGTCGGTGGCGCGGGCCGTTTTTGCGGGCCGGTTTGAAGGCGGCTGGACTTCGGCGTTCCGTCGCGGCGCTACAACGGCGGTGAGCGCGCGCCACTGTCGGCCGCGGGTCAGCTGACCATGCGCCGGCCGTGCCCGGCGGGCGAACCGGGCAGACGCAGACGGCAATTCGGTTTGAGCGGTGGGAGCATGTTTTTGTTTCGAGGCTATCGGCCGTGGTAAGCCAACATGACAGGTTGAGACAAGCTTGAATCATGTGGGTTATGTTGAGGAGCGGCGAACGACGCAGACAGCCGGACCACGTGATCGGCTCAGCGGGACTATCGCGACGCACGATATCCTCGACCTCGGTGACCCGTGCTCCCCAACGATGGGCTGACCACTGGCGCCGCCCTGGCCAGCTGACCACTGGCGTCGCCCTGAACCCGCGAGCCGACACCGCACCGGCAGCCTCCGCTCCAGCCAATCATAAGCCGAGCCGTGATCTTCCCAGCGCCCGGCCACCGCAGCGCCGAAGGCCGCCGGGGTTGACGGCGCGTCACGGCGGTCGGCGCGTCGGAGCCGACGTCGACGGCGCCGGCCGACGTTGCCGGCGGTCCGGCGCGTGCGGCGAGGCGCGCGCGGCGGCGTCATTTGTGAAACGGCGCGCCAAGCGGCGGAAATGGCGCGCCGGAGCGACGTTTCCGGACCAGAGGTCGGCGCGGGTCGCCTTTCTGCGCCACCTCGTGACACTTCTTTGTACTACTTACGCCCGGCTGATCTCAAATGAACAGCTCATTTGTGCATGCGGTTTGCGGCCGCAACACGACAACCTACTGCTATTAAAAGCCCATTGAGCGCGGAATTAAGCTGGCGGTGTGACCACTCAGCCGGGAATGGCACGGAGTCTTTCTGGGCGATCCAGTTCACGCGGAGGTCCAGTGACGTCATCCGAGCCGGCATTCCTGGTGCCGTCCATTACTTGCAGTAACGAGTTCGCAGATGCCAGTCCGAGGCGCCACCCGGCCGCCAGCCGCAGCTGCATCGGTCTGGGGCGTTGCGGTCTACCCGAGGCGGCCTCGCAGACTCCGAGACGCCTCGCGGCGTCAGGGGGTTGATGTCTCCCCTGGGTTTAGTTTGCGGTGCACTTAAGAGCCTCGTAAAACCCCGGATCTGGTGTCTGGTCCCTCCGGTGGTCACGGCATGCATAGGGGGGTTTCACGGTCTCGCTCGGCCTCTGCAGGCCTCCACTGTTCGGCGGACTCTGGCAGTGACCCGGGCCGCGGCGTCACGCGGACTCGCGGACTCTGGACGCGGCGGCCCCGGTCCCCGCTCCGACGCGGCCGACCTCAGCGGATTCCCAGGCGACCTGCTCAGGTGGCCGTCGCCGGCGCGCGGCCGCGTCTTCGGCGCGGGGTCGCCGCTCCGTGGTCGCCAGCGGGATCGGAACGCCGCGGCGCGGGCAGCCGCCGTGAAGGTCACGTGGTCCGCGCGGCCGGCGGCGCGGCGTCGTCCAATGTCGGCGCAGCGGAGCAAGAAGACACGCCCGCCGTCGCCGCCGCCGGGGGCGTACAGCGCGGCGCGAGCCATCGCGGACGGAGGGAATGAATGACCGGGGAGCGAGCGCAGGAATATTCATGCGGCGAAGAGAGCAGGAGGTAGAGGGGGACCGGGGTAAGGGGGGGGGGGAGTTGAGCCGGGAAGTTGGTTTGGTGGGTGGGAAGAACGACAGCCGCTACCGATGCAAGGAAAACGAGAATGGATCTGGGTTGCCAAGTGCTAGAGGCCCAGAGACGATAGGAAGATTACGAGAGGGAAAATGTGTCTGGGTGTGTAATACGAGCATCCAGGAAATATGCGTTCTGAGGTATTTTCCCGGCCGGAGTTTTCCCAATGGCTCCAAACGCATGCTCAGCTGACACCAAACCCACAAACCACTTCCAACAGCGGTACAACAAATTCACGGCCAAACCTCGAAGAAAATGGAGCGGCTGCAACCTCCACAGTCGCGCGGGAATAAACCGCACCGCCATGGTACTCACCTCCTGAGAAGGGTGGTGCGTGCGGGCCGGGCGGCGGGTGCGTGGGCGCCGGCGCCGGCGCGCAGGGAGGCCCCGGACTCGTGTTCATTGGCGCCGGCGGCGGCAGCTGGCTCGGTGGCAGCGGGTGCGCCTGCGAGTGCGGCGCCGTCGGCTTGGGGTACGTGTCCAGGAACTGGTTGAGGTCGGGCACGCACGCGCTCTCGTACAGGCTGGTGGGGATGTTCTCCAGCGCCGCCTTCGCCTTCTCGCACTCTGGAAGCGGACAGAACGCAGACTCAGCGCCGGCCATAATGGGTCGTTGTGGTTTGTTTATCTGTCCAGCTGCGTTGCTGGTGCAGTATGCAAAATATGCCAGCCGGTCGCAGCAGTTCGTCCTCAGAAGTCCCAAGCTAAGAGCAAGGGCTTGCTGCCCGTCAGTTACATGACAGCATCAAAGAGATCGTCAGGCAATTGCATAAGAGCGAACTGTTCCCTACGCAGTGTTGCTGGTCTGCTCTGTCATTTTGTCTGGTCCAAAAGTCACGCTCGAAGCTCGGCCCCTGCCTCTGACCCAAAACTCCAGTCAGTGGGCATCGGGACCTTAAAAATGGGAGAGCTACGCAGGCCCATGCCCTGTAGGCAGATTCGCTCCACACATCACATCAGCTTTCTTTAAAAAAACCTCCAGAATTTCAAAGAGAGGGTCCTGTGAGGCTCCTCCCCTCCTCTTCCCCAGTTCCTAAGCCTTTATTCGCGGCTCAAAATCACGCAATAATTAGTATTTGACCTGTGGTGCTCTGATGCCGTTTTATGCGATGCATAAACAATAACTCAATCTACCTGCCAGTTACTGTGGTCAGCCACAGTAACAGCCACAGCCACAGCCACAGCCACAGCCACAGCACGCCGGCCCACGTCCCAGCCATATCGCTCGTTCGCTCTGGGACCGGTCCGCGTTCCCAGCCGCTCCCTGCGGCTAAATGTGTCACACAGAGCTCCACCCAACGCCTGCGCGCGGCGGGTGACCCCGCGGCGCCTGCCACCACGCTGCACCGCCGGCGGCCGTGCACGGCCCCCGCAGCAGCGGCGGCAGCGGCGGCAGCGGCGGCAGGCAGCGGTAGCAGCAGCGGCAGCGGCGGCAGCAGCGGCGCCGCCTCTGACCCGGCTGTTTGCCGCGCGGTGCGCACGTGACGCGCCGGCGGGTCACGCCGCGCCGCCGCGGGACCTTTGTCAGTGATGTCACAGCAGGGCGGCCGCTGGCGCCGGCTGAGCCGCCGCCGGCGCCGCTGTGTCACAGGGACGGAGCTGCACACGGCCACGAGCGAGAGAGGGGAAGAAGCGACGGCCGGTCGCAGGCCTTATCCGAACTGCTCGAGGGATCCCCGCAGTTCGGGGTCTGCCCAGAGTCATCAGTTATTTTCCGTGCTGGGAGGTCCCTCATTCCCGTGGACTTCCCTGTTGGTTGCTTCTCTGAACCTGAATTGTTTTAGACACCACTTCGTTCGGCAAGGATGCTGATGACGCAGCCTTCCTTCGGCAAGGATGCTGATACACGTTGTGGTCAGCTGTGGGCTTTAAATGGGAGGGATGAATCACGTTTCTTTCTCACCGTGACCATTCCGAGTCACGGATCCAGGGTAGCACGTGCAGCATGCCTTCTTCACGCCCACCCCCAAAGCCTTACTGCATCATTAGAGGCAAGATGGAAATCCCGGGACACGAAGTGTCACCATCGTGATACACCCCTGCAGGCAGCTGGAACTGCTGGGAGCGCGTTGGAACTACCTAAAGCGGAGGCCTTGGCGTTCACAGCGTAACGATGTTACGAGGAATTAATGATGACCACGTCAGCCAGGACCGACAGAGCCGGAGCCTTTGGAAGCTGCGATCAAAGTGGAAGCTCAGCATGCGGGCTCGTGAGGCGAACCACGCCGAGAATTCTCGAAAACTCGCCCTTGCGTCTCCAGTGGAATCCCGGAACCACGACGGGGTGGCTACGTCTCATGCTCCGTTTACATTAAGTTCTTGGCAGTCTGCGTAAATATAACCAACGTAAATAATGCATCGTTGCGAGGCGGCCAAAACTGGCTATTTTTATTCACCGGAAGCCTGGTTAGGAAAACAAGCACAGGCTTTGGCCGGGCCCAAACCACTGCACGGTCCACTGCCGCGGCGCGCACAACCAGCCCAGAGCGCGGTCAGTCGGCCGGCCCGCCCCGAATCTCCTGAGGCGGAGGTGCCTGCGGCAACACGGCGCGTGGGCCGGCGGCCGGCGGCAGCGCAGCAGAAACAGACGCCGCGTCTGGCCGCGGCGCACAGCGCGAGTGGCGCGTGTGCAGCGGCCGTGCCGGCTCCCCAGCCAAGGCCGGCGGCGGCGCGCTGCCGGGCCCGCCAGCGCGGCACGGCCGCCATTGTTCGGCGCGCTGCCGCCGGAGCTGTCGCCGCCGGCGCCGCCGCCGGGCGACGGTCACCTTGGGCTACCGGGCGATAATCGAGCCGAAACGCGGCCTGCGGAGGCTGGCCGGTGACTGACACGGCCCGGTGCAGCGTTTTTCAGCTGTTTCGCTCTTCAGCGCGGGGGCTCAGCTGAATGGAAGGGTTGCGCGGCGCGTGATCCGGGCCGCAGATAATGAGGGCTACCTGCTGACTGATGAGACAGCTGAAACAGCGGGGGCTCGCTGTCTTCTTTCCGTCCCGACGGCCCCTCAAAGTCGCAACACCGCTCTGCGCCAGATCGCGTGACTGGCTTCCTCCGTGCGCGCCAGCGCTCACAGCGTCCGGCGAACACTGCCGAAACTGAATCAGACTTCCGAGAATGGGCGTTTAGCCGGGCTGTTGGCGTCGCGGCGACGCTGCCCAGACAGTACGCGTTCCTACTTAGCCGTCGTTTAATAACTGCGGTCATCAGCTGAACAAATAAACTGAGACCATCTGGCAACGGAGGCGGCTGGAGCGCGCACGCACTGCGAGCGGGCCGACGCAGCGTGCAGCTCCGCTTCAAAGCGTCTCCAGGCTGCGCGGGTGACGGGCGAAGCCTGCCAGAAATCACGCGCCGAATTAGCCGCCGCGCCGCCTTCGAACCCGGGATTAGCGGCGTTTCCGGCGCGCGCGACGCCGTCGCTGTTTTTACCCCAAATATTGACACTTTAATGCACTTTTGGTGGTCGCGGCAAACAGGTCGGCTCACAACTCACCGGCATCGAAGTCGTGTTGTCACAGCGGCGCCGCGGGATCAAGACAAACAGGCGGCGGAGGGTCGCGCCGTTCCTTCCGGTGGCGCGGCGCCGGCGGCACGTCGCCGCCCGAGGCCCACCTGGTCCGCGGCGCCCCTCGTCGCGGCCGGAAGCGGTAAGGCCGAACTTTGTCGCCGGGCCCGGGGGCGGCCCTCAAAGGCCAGCGGCGAGGAATGTCGGCGGCGCATTCACCCCGACGCTGGAGCGCCCGCCGCCGATTGTGCGCCAAAAATGCGCCCGAGATAATCCAGTCAAGACGGAGAAATGCCGTGAATGGCGACTGGGTTAAATTACGCGCCACTGGACACCGGACGGCTACCGGGAGCAGGACGCGGCCCGGGCGGCGTCCCGGCCTCTGGAGCGCGCTGACGGCTATATCGCCGCGGCCGGCGCGGCGGGGTCTAATTACCTGACGGCGATATTTCGCCGGCCGATCTGGAGTGTCTAATTACAGGCGGCTGGCGAGCGCGCCGGACGCCCGTTCATCCCTCACGCGTGGGTCGTCGAGACGCAGGGGCAGTCTGGCACCGGGAGCCCGCGGCGCGCGCTGGTGGGGCTCGCCGCGGGCGCGGCTTCACAGAGACGGGCGAAGGCGATGGTGACAGCGCTGGCGCATGTGGTGCAGTGGCGCGACAGGGGTTTAATGATATGTCATAGCGCCGTTTTACGTTTAATTTACTTCCGAGAGGCATACATTCGCTTTGCGTTGTTTTCTAACAAGTACATAGCAGTATTCAGCCTTAAGTACGACTTAATCGGTCATTTTTAATAATATGACACAGGTCACAGCTGATTCAGAACAACTATATTGTATCCACGCCGTGACGCAATGGTGATCAAAGATGTTAACAAGAAAGTTAGAACATGGTGCATATCAACTGATGTATTCAGGTATTATTTTATAAGTAAGGTATATGAAATAAGATATGCCTATGCCTCTTCTCAGAGCACAGCTCACTAGCCTATTTCGTCGCAACATACCGGTGAAAAGAATAGCTCGTGTTACATTCGGCGTTCTTGGAAACCATCAATGCCTAGGGCTCTGATCACCAGTCAGAACTGCATTTGCACCGAGAAGCCAAGTGCGGTCTGCCCAGCAAAATACAGGTATTGCCCTCGTCACGAAACTACTTACATCACTTTCAATTCACACATAAACGATCGTTGTACGCGCATTAGTGTGAAGCTGAAGGAAATGCCCGGTTTCTTGGAGATAGGGATCAGAGTCACCCCATTATCATCCAGACACTTTGCGGGGGTGATTATGCATGCAAGCCGGTAGTTCCCCAAATAGTATATTATCAGCGAGCAGCGCGCAGCCCGAGTGACAGGAAAAGTTGTTGCAGTCCGAGGTGCCCGTAGCTTTCTCAGACACTTTTCGTCGCTTGCTTGAGGCATGCCGATTTGGCCAATGCCCATGGTTTGTCTTCGAACACGAGGTTCCTTTGATTTATGCCGCCTGCTAAGCTCATTCCAGTGTGTGCCGACTCCATAAAAGTTAAAGAGAAAAATACAGGCGACCCGTTACCAGCATCGCATGCCGCAGCTGCCACGCCCATCCCGAGGCCCGCCACGTCGCCGTCTGCCGTCACTAACGCATCCTCTACCCTTCCCGCAAAGCCCGTCCTCACCAAACGTGAAGCGACTTCGCAGCTCTCCCCGGCGGCAGTGGCGGCGCGGACGCGGCAGTTGCGGGGCGGACGCGCGGGTGCGGCGCGGCCGGCGCGTCGGCGCGTCATGGGGCGGGGCGTATCCGGGGTCCGCTTCCGGTGGAAACGGTGCCAGGTCAGGGTCCGCTGGCCACGCCACTGACCGATGGCCATCGCCGATGGACAAATAACAATTACACGCGGGCGCCGGCGGCGGTCCGGGTCACGCCGTGTGAAAACGCACACAAACACGGCTTGCGCAAACGGGGGCGTCGGCGTCGGCGCGGCGCCGTCGGGAGACAACGGCTCGCGGCCGGTGGCGAAAGCGGGGGCGCGCTGGCGAAACGTCGGCTCGCGCGTCCGCCGACGTGCCACGCGTCGCTGGCGATGTGATGTGATTTAGTGCACGCGACGCGCGTTGTCTGTGGTCCTTGTAGCGCTGGACCACAAGAAAGCAAGAGTTCCCGTTTCGTGTGAGCGTCATCGGTTATTCCGTGTGAAAGATCAGACACTCAACGTGCCAGCCGGGCTCACTTGTATATGTCGCCGATTTAGCGCCACATAGTGTGCGAGGCAAATGCCACGCGAACGCGCCGAACATGGCGCACCACGCCGAAGCCCGGCCGGCCAGCGCGCCCCTGCCGTTGAGCGCCGCCAGTGGTGCAACCGACAAGACAACAGGGCCGTGCCGGCGGCCGCGCGCTGTGAAACAATGTCAGCCCGTTCCGGCCGCTGACTTCGGACAAACAACCGGGCCGCGTGGAGATTGGACAGATCGCCCGGGGCCGCTCATCAGCCATCAGCCGTGTGACCATCACACCCCGTCCCCTCTCCCGGTGCGAGAGGGGAGGGGTCATCTCCAGCGGCGCGTGCCATCACGCCAGGGACAGGTGTTTCAAAGCGCGGCGCCGCGCGGCGCCCCCGCACATTGTTCCCGGCTCTAAACACGGCATCCTCCGAAACGGCCGTCGACGAATGAGCCATGTTTGCGAAATATTCACTCGCCGGTCGGTGCTAACGGCTCGGTGGCGCTGCCGTGTGGCGGTGTGCCTCGCCCAGCCGGGGGCCAGATGCGACCGCAGAGCGGCGCGGACTGCACAGCGCGGGGGCGTCGCCGTAGCACCAGACAGCGGGCCAGGGGCTACCTGCCGCGGCACCAGGCAGCTGCGGGCGACATGCAGCTGGCATGTCCCCCCGTCAGATTTTGCGATCGACATGGTCCAGGCCGCGGATAAGTGACGTTGCACCAGAGCCTGCGGTATCCTCGGAATGTTCTGGTGCGCTGACACATGAGCGCCCCTCAAACAAATAACATTATATCATTGTTTGTGTTGCCTCAGCTGCTCCAGCGTCACGACATCCTCCGCCCTGACACTCTGCCGAACGAATGGCGTTCCCCGCTTAGCACGATTTCCGACGCTGCGCTAGCGGAGTAACTTGTCAGGCACCGCGCGCCTTCCAAGTGCTCCTCGATCGACGCGATGTCACCCCAATGGGGACACGCCTAGCGGTGGGGGAGCCCCACCCCTCGCAAACGGGCGGGGTGGCGCCGTGCTACCGCCATCTGCCATCAACGATACGGTGCTGCCAAACGTAAATATTTATTGTCATCAATCGCAGCGGCCGCGCCACGACGGCCGTGCCAGACGGACGGGCACCTCCAGTTCCGGAGATGCTCCAGCACGGCTGCAAGACCGACCAACGGCCGAGCGTCGTTCGGGTGACGTCACAGGCGCTGGTCGGGGTCGGTCGGGCCAACCAGGGGTGGGGGCCAGATCCTCGCAGGAGGAGATTGGGGCCGTGCGGGGATCGCGGCGAACGGTGGACCGTTTTGAACAAAGTTTCAAACAGGTGGGCAGGTGGTGACCAGAACGGCAGCGGGCTTGACGTGAACTGGCTAGTCTAGCGCCTGCACCTGGCGAGGTCTGGGACCGATACAAAACCCAGTCAGGACCACACACTGCTCCATCATACTTCTGACGAGGCCAGTCAAATATTGCTGGCTTCAATCATTGAGCGAGCCGTGGCGACGAGACGTTCGTTTAGACAGGTCCATTCAAACCCGACGGTCCGATCTCAGCTCGGAAGCACAGGCACGTAGCTGCCACGCTCCAGCCGGCACCTTCCAACTCGTATCGTACGCAGCTGGATCGCGCCTTCCGTGTCGGATTGCGGAAGGCAGGTCCTGCTACCCGATCCTTGGGAGTCCATCAAATGCAGGCGTACAATGCCCGGGTTTCCAATGCAGCTCACCATGAACACATCAAGATACGAAATTTCAGAGTTGTGCGATGCCACCGACAGTGTGATCTTCAATCATTTGGGCTCCCTCTCAGAGGCATGCACTACTGTCCAATTTTTTTAACTGGCTGTGGTTTTCTCCGCCTATTAACAGCACAAAATTGCTCCGATGGTACTTAAAGTCGCCATTTTAGCAAGGCGTCGATGGCTAGTTTGCCGGTACGAAAGTTTCCAGAGATACCTGATGGATTTCAGTCTAAGCTTTTTAGGACATGCTCTCCATGTAACACCATAGTTCTAGTGTCGAAATTCTGGTATGATTGGGGCCACCCCCGCCCCAGCCACCCGCCACCTAACGGTAAACAACGCGACACCTCTGACCGGAAGGCGATGGAACTTGAAGTGAAAAATGCTCCCAATCAACGCATGACGCTTTGCTGCGGCGTGCTGTCGAAAAAAAAATTAGATGCGCAGTCAAGACGAAGGGGGCGAGCTTTGTTGCTTTGTATTTCATAATCCTGTTGCTCTCGATACGTCTCCAGAATCTGTTTTGCTTTGATCCCGCGAAGGCAAACCCTGCGAGGTGGACACAATTCTTCCACTTAGTATCGCAAAATATCTTGGAAATGGCGGAGGGGTAGAACAATCAACGGTGCGCAGCTGCCATTTGTTAAATCAAATCCGTAATTTTGAACTTTTTCTGTTTTAACTTCGATAGCTGTTTTTTCTGACAGCGGAAATGCAGTTGCTAAGAAAATATCATGGAATGACGACAAACCAAGAAAAATATATATTAAGAACGATTTCACCGGTGACAGAACTTGATCGACAGCATCAATATAACCTATCATATCCTCACATGAAGCGACCAAAGAATGTTGTCTACATTTGGCCTTCATGACGTTGTCTCCCATTGGAAGTCTGCAGTGCTGATTGCTCAAGGTCGGTCTTAGCCGGACGAGCAGGTTTCAGATATGACGTAACTGGATCACAGGCGCTAACAATCACGACCTCGTGTCGCATGTAGTCCGTGGAGATGGTATCACGGCTTACACTGCTAAAGAACCTGACATTTCTCTGTCACACTGGCCGGGCTCGTATAGAGGGTCACCAGCACTGCGGGCTGACAGCAGTGCTGGGCTGGACAGCGAGCGGCCGGGCTCGTACAGAGGGACACCGGCACTGCAGACTGACAGCAGTGCTGGGCTGGACACGACGGTTCGGGCTCATACAGAGGGACACCGGCACTGCAGGCTGACAGCAGTGCTGGGCTGGACACAGAGACCTTGCAGCCGTATTTCAACGACCGACGCACCGGTTCTTTGCAAATTTTCTTGAAAGGATAAAAGCCTGATGATTTTTGTCTAATTTTGTTGACGGGGCCAGTAAGTACCATACATTTATGAAAGCCACGTTCTGGGTTGAATAGTCACAAAATGTTGCGCCTATAACAAACAACCGAACAACCGGAAGTAAACATTAAGGTGGGTGGTGGTGCAGTGGTTAGGACGCTCGACTCTGGACCCATCGGTCTGGGGTTCGAGTCCCTGTCACGTCACCATCGCATCTAACATGATTCCTTACAAAGGCATCCATCTCCAGATGACCCTGGCAGTTGGTGAGACGTAAAAGCCCCGATTACCATAATAATGTGAAGTGACCACGACATGGCAAAATTGCTTCAAATGCCTGACAGCATCACACCAACTGAACAGGCTGTCAAATACCAGCGGCAAAAGCTTGCTCTCCTAGAACCCACTTCGATGTTCGAAACAAAGTCGTAGCGCTCAACTGTCCGCACATTCGAAGGACAGGCACGTTTTCGCCGACGCGTTCGCATCGGCTCAGTCCAGACTGTGTACTCACCACGCTGCAGGTTCTCCAAGTGCTCCCACAAAATGTCCCCCATCCACTGAGGCGTCCGGGCCAGAAAGTTCTCTTTGCCCATAGCGCACATCTCGCGCCCCGTCATATTGAACTTGTCTATTTCCACTCCCTCCATGCAGAACTCGTTGGTGGCCCAGCATAGCCAGTGCACCACGTCCATCTGAGTCCACTGGCGCGGATCTGCAACAGGGTCAGGTCAGCCGGGTCAGGGCGGGTCGGGTCAGGTCAGCCGGGTCAGGGCGGGTCGGGTCAGGTCCAGCCGCCGGGGCACGTCACTGCTTGTCTGACTTTGGCCGGAAGTCAGGAGCGGAAGGCTTCAAGAGCAACGTTCAGGAACCTTACAGAGATTGCGCCGACCAAAACAGTTCTTCTATCGCATTTTCCTGCAGCGAACAGGGCATCATCATTTCAGTAATCAGCTTTAAAACGCCAATAAAACCGTAAATGAAATGTGGTCACTTTTACGTATTGTCTCCAGCGTTCTATATTATATCCATGATAATATAGAATTAGGTATTATATATTATCTATATACGTATTCTATATTATCTCCATGATAATATAGAATACAACGTTGTTATTACTGAAAGCACCGTCACCGCGTCATCGACTGCACGTTAACGATGCTGATACCATAATTTTCAGAATTCCTGCCGCTTACGGGAGGATACACCTGACACACCGACAGATGAAAAACTTGAGAGGATATGCCGGACCTTTGCGCGTGTTTAGTTAAAAATGATTCGGTTCGGGGTGGACTAAAATAGTTCAATTTACCAAAACAACGCTATAAGTCTTAGATTCAAGCCAAAGGGAGCGAGACACTAATAAAGCTACGCTGCGGCTCTTGTCCCTCACATTTATTAACTAAGGCACTCGCTGAAAATCAGACCACAAAGACAAACTATTCCAAAGCCGGGAGCACGTCATTCGAATCGCTGATGCGTTTATGTCAAATTGGTTCCGTGGTTCCGTGTAACTTCGGAATACCTATCGAACAGAATTCGTCATTCAAATCCAAAGCACAATAGCCCTGAGTCTGCCGACCAAATATTACAGCTATCCACCGCGCTGGAAACTGGCGGCCATGCTGGATCTGGCCCATGACAAAAGAAGCAATCCAATCACAACCGCTGATCTACCATTGCTCAACAACTAAAGCAAAGCCTTGCACTTGGCTCCGTCGCTCGATAATCCCTCCAAGCACTCTTGACACTGCGATAGCCACAGCCGATTTGTCGGCGGCTTTGATGCTGCGGTGCCCGCTGCGCGCTGGGTGATATCGCCTCTGGCGCAGGTGTCTCCGGGGGAGGGGGTGCAGCGACAGCCGCGGCCGCTCGTGCGTCCCGAGAGGCTGCGTGGCGGGATCGCCTCACCTTTGGGTATGTACCGCTTCTCTTGCTCTTTGTTCCAGTTCTCGAAGGACGCCATGAGGGCGTCTGCGATCTTTTTGTTGGTGCCGGGTGTCAAGGGAGGCACCTGGGACGGCAGGTCTGAAATTCACAACGGAGACGGGTGAGCACAGACACGCAAGACACCGCAGACGAGTGAGCGCAGACACTCCAGACACCGCAGACGAGTGAGCGCAGACTTTCAAGACATCGCAGACGGGTGAGCACAGGCACTCAAGAAGGTCGGGAGATGTATCGAGACCACACAGCAAACCATATTTCACACATCGGTTCTGAATTTAGAGATAGAGACAGCTGGGCAGTGAGTCCCAGACACTTGCACCACAGACAGCTGGGCCCTGAGATTAAGAGCTCGCAGACAACAGTGCTGGAATCCACAGACAGACGATTGTGTACTAACGCTCTGACCTCGCAGGCGACTGGGAAGGGACACTGGCACACCACATACAGGTCGTGATAGACAATCAGACATCCCGGGCAGATCTGAGACCAATACACAGAGATGCCGAGCGCATACTACACGAACGTTTACAGACACTCGGGCACCTGAAAAACGGCAGAAGTTTGTTGTTCAGGGACGGAGTCGCGTGGAATCCCGATAGGAGTTGGAAACAGGCAGACCCAACGCGGAAAAAACTCGGCGCATTTAGGAAACTGGAATGGCAGGTTAGCGTTGACGGGCATAGCAGAGACCCTCTCCAGACGAAGCGGGGACAAAAAGGTGTCTGCCGGACTCGTTCCTCCCAGGTAAATATAGGTACGTGACTGTCAAACTGAGGCTGGTAGACACTGGACGCCAGTGGCCTTCAGGAAATGCGCACCAACCATAACGAAATAAGGCAAAGCCCTTAGATGGAGATGGCCGTGAGTGGGCGGAAAATGAGAATCGCAAAAATACGTAACAACTGCCACATTAAGAATAACATTATTTAACGGGGCCAAATATATAAACATAAACCGTCGTACAATTATTTACCAACGAACACCCCTGCAGCTGCTTTGCTCACTGACTCGCAATATCTCACAGTCGCAGCGGTCGTCACGACCGGGCTAGCGAAATTCTAGAAGTCCGAATGGTTTGGGCAAAATCACACGGTTACATAACCAGATCTGACGCCAATAGTCAGCGCCAAGCAGGCTTGGAAAAAGCCATCAGTTCCACCTCGCGGCCACGGATCGTAAGCACCACATGAGCCAGGCCGCGCAGCTGTCTTGGCCTCAGCCTGCCAGCCCATTGAAACGCACCGCGCCTCCCGAGCGCCTCTACCTCCGCCAGCAGCACGCGCACGGAAGCGCAGGTGGGCGGCCGCTGCGGGCGGCTCACGGCTCCTCGGCGGCACACGCGGACACCACGGCGACGGGCGCCACCCCCACCTGGACGGCGCGACCCAGCACCGACCGACCCGACGCCACAGCCGCAATAACCGGGCGGCGGTCCGTCCGCCGAGAAATACACGGCCAGCCGCTGGAGCGGCGCCAACGCAAACGCCATGAAAACATCGATTCTACACGGGTTGTGGGCTACAGTTGCAATTGGCGGTGATCAAGCGTATCGTTTCCGACGCGGCTGTGGGGGCGGCGGGGCTTGGCAGCGGCGCAATGGCCGGCGCTGGCGCGGCGCGCGCGCACCGTACCTCTCGTTTTCTTCGCGGGGCGGAGCGCTGGCCGCGGCACCATCGGCTCTGGCTTCTGGAACATGCGGCTGCTGACCATGTGACTCGCCTGCGCCATAGCGGCCCGGCGCGCGCCGCTCGTCGCGCGTCGCGTCGACACGCGGGTTGTTCGGTCGGCCGGTCGCGCGCCGCAGCAGCACCGTCCTTCGCGCACCGTCCCCCGAGAGACACTGGTGCCCCGCTCCCCTCGCGGGCGGCAGCGGCGGCGGCGGCGGCGGCGCCCGGGGCGGCGCCGGACCCGGCGCGGCGGCCCTTCGGCGCCCTCCGCGCGCGGCGCCCGCTTCCGGCGGTCGGCAGCGTGGCCGACGGCTGTCGTCGACGTCGACGGGGGGTCGCGGGGTGTCGTCGGGGGCAGCAAACGATGGAGACGACGAAAACGCCGCTTGCCGACGGCCGGTAATGCGCGACCAGTCCCCAACTCAGGCGAGACTAATTGCCTCCCCAGGGCCACAACTCGCTCAATGAAAGTTTATGAATGAATAGCCTCTACCGGGGCGGCGTAGGGCGGAGCCTGCCGGGCAGCGGCGGCCGCTGATTGGTTGAGGCCTTGGCAGCGGCGCGCGTCAGAGCGGCTCGCAGGTGGGAAGGCCGGGGGTGGACGGCGGCCGGACCGGCGGGCGCCGCACCGGCCGGTCGGCGCGGCGCCCACCCAGCCGCGAACACCCCTCCCCGACCCGCCGACCCCGGCCGCGCCGAGCCATGAGGTCAGCCGAGCGGCGCCGTGACGGCTCGCCCCAACTGGCACGAGCAACAGGTGACCACCTGTGCCGCCGCCGCCCGGCAACAGCTGACCCCTCAATCACGCCGACCGTCGAGAAATAAAGGGGCCGCCGCCGCGCCAGACAGGCGTCAATCATCCAGCTCGCGCGCCGCGCGCGCCCCCAGACGGGCCCCAGACCGCATCGGCGCGAGACGTCGGCGAATCAAAGGCACCGCGGGCTCTGCTGGGTGGTGGCCGCCGGTGGCGGCCCCCGGGAGCCCCGTGCGGCGCGTCGGACTGACGGCGCGGTCAGTGGAGGTCGCGTGGCCGTGCCGGCAGCAGTGGCAGGCCATCATTAGCCGGCACGAGCCGGCCCCGGGGGCGGAGGCATGCGCCTTCTCTCTCCTCGGAGGAGAAGGGAGCCTGTTTCACTCGGGCACCCTTCTGTGCGCCGCAGACTGTCGGCGCCGGCAGCTGAGAAGGAGGTGATGATGCACCATTGGGGAGAAAGTTGCAGCAAATTCGTGGAAGAGCTTGTTCTTCGTTCAGGCTACCCGTCAACGCAGCTTTCATATGACTCTCGGCGAGGTCTTAATTTTGTATAATCACGCCTGCTTTTTGTTTCGGTTTTGGCTCGTCGGACGACAGAGCCCGGGCCAACCACGGTTTGGTTCAACCTTGACTCCGCTCCGTCATGGTAAACGTAACGTTTTGGCCTGTCAGCCCCTGTTCAATCTCAGCCCGTTTTGTAAAACCTGAGATTTTGTTCGTTTCTTTGCAAACTCCGCACTTTCCACACAGCGGGCGCGTTTCGGTCGGCTCTGGCCCGGTTTGGGCTCCGTTTGGCTCGGTTCCGAGCAGCCCCGATGCTTATCTGGCAGTGGTGGAGGCCTGTTCCCACGCCTGTCTGGGGCTGATCGCATCGGTCCAGCGCTTGTCTCGACCTCCGAGTGGGGTCAGTGCAGATTCGGAGCGTGGTGCTCTTGTCAGCTGCTTTCGCCGACGATGGAAATGAACCACAATAGCATTTGGTGGGATGTGTTATCGGTGCTAGGGACGGAACGGAACGGTGTTAGACAGGGAACGGTGAACGGCCGAGGCTTTTAGATAGGAAAGGGTGAGGGTAAAGTTGCAAGCATGTTGTGTCCTTCATACTTATTGTTTACGTCGGGGTGCTACATGACCAAACAGCCGACACGACAACAGAAACAATCACTGTCATATTGTGTTATTTCAAGTCGCTTTTTATGCCTGTTTCCCTTCGCGAATCCAAGGTGAAATGCGTGCCGCCCATGGTTCTCGCATTCCACGTCCTCCACTGTTCAAATGGACTTCACTTGTTTTGCCATTTCATCGCCCGCGGCAAGTCCCGGAGTCACCGCGGTCACCCCACGTGGCCACGGCCGCACCAGGTGACCTTGCCAGGGGCGAGGTCAGGTCGGTGGTGACGCAGAGCCGGCAACGTCCGACCTTCAAACCGATGACGCTGCCTACGGGCCGACGGTCCGGGACGACCGTTGGAGCTGGCGCCCGACTCACGCGGGCACGGTCCCACGGCGGTAATTTCGTAGTGTCCGTGCCTTGCACCGGTGCAGCCGCATGCGAACTGGTCAAGCCCGAATTTGCTTTTTGCACATGTGTGCCGTCCAGGGCATGCAGTGGGCAAACGGTAACTGCCAGAAGTGAGCCACTTCAGGGGGAGTTGCAGCTTCCTCGCCGTTGGTTCTGCTGGCCAGTGGCGGCCCGGAACATACTCAGAATAAGTTAGTGATGCACTGTCGTTGCGAGCGCAGAGTTTGGCGCCGCGTTTCAAAACGACGGCGTCAATTGACGTGTTGCAGGACTTTTCTTGTTTGGATGATTTCTGTGAGATTATTGATCGTTACTGAACGACTGCAGCATAGTTGCTTTGCAGCCCAGTCGTGTGAAAACCCCAATCGCGACATGAACACCGCGGGAAATGTGGTGTGTTTTCATCACATACTGCAATGACCGCTTACTGTCTTCACTTTCTCAGTAGCCCTGGCACGTTGGCGGTCCGCGTTCTTCTACCAGAAGTGCTTGAATCAGGTTCGTGGCTGAGGGGGCCATAATGACCAAGACCATCATGGAGCCGACTCAGGTGGCATGTTACATGATTCACCACATCGCAAAACTTCTGGCTGAGAAAGCATTAAACATCATGAAAAAAACATCAATTTCGCACATTTTTCTAATTCAGCGTAGCCGTACCCCATTTCTCCTCAAATGCACAGTATTTTCAAAAGGTCATATTCATGCAATACGTTCGAATGGCTTATAAAACTGATGGACAGCATCTCTCCAGACGTGCTCCAAATGTAGCGACTCCAAACAAATGCCGTTTACTAGTACTAAAGATTGATTAAGCAATAGACCATGAGCCAACATAGCTGAGCCTTGATTACGTAATCTAGCTTTACTGGCAGCTACCAAGCATTAGAGCTTTGCTACATCAAGTACGCTGCCAGGTCTCAGTTGGCATTGGCAAGGATCATCCAGACTTCCGTTTGACCCTTTCAATGCCAATATTCCTGACAGACCAGACATATTTGCTGGAGCAAATCACTTTCTTCTCTCTGACGAAGCTCGACTTGCCTCGTAGTAGTTGGGTGTAAAATTAAAGAAGTACTCGGTGTAAATACAATAGATACGCAGGCATCAGCAAATCATGCTTTTCACAGCACAACCTAACAAACTTGAAATATGTTATGGTCAGTGCGTGGATGTGGTGATAACAGAACACCACCATGATCGTCAGAGAACGACGAGACACCGCAAAGAAGCCACAGACTAGAATATCAAAGTCTGTGTGAAATGATGGAGCGATTAGTGCTACTGATTCTGCAGTGACACGAGACGTAGACAACCCAAATGCATTGTCATTTCATCCGCGTGAAGTATGCTGGTAATCGTTTTGAGTCATTTGAGTTGCGAAGCTCCATGTACGCGTTCAAATCGCGTGTCTCTGATCTGCAAACATAATTCCGGTATTTTTGCGCTATTGCGCTATTGTGTTGCATCGTTGGATCATCCTTGCACGTTGTGTAAATCTTGGTTTGCCAGATAATCTATCCACGTTGTTCACCGTATGTGAAGTGCATCTTGCGTTAAGCCTACAGCCATGCGGCTGACAAGAACGCGAAACATAACTAAATGTTAAGTAAGTTGTGCTTGCTGTGCAAAGGGACGACAGACGAAAATTTGCATCAATTTCATGTCTTGTCGACTTTAAGGGAGTCACCAAGCCATTGCCGCCATCTAGACGGAGCCCAGCCGTTGGCAACACGTAATCCCCCCCCCCCCCCCCCTCTCCCTGTGGCGTCCACCCCCTCCTGCAGACAGCTGTCTTTGTCAGCGGCCGGCGGCGAGGGCCGCGGCGAGATCGGCCCAGATATGTCCTCGCGAGGCTGACGCGGTACACATGTCGACCCCATGTCCGGCTGCAGACCCGTCCGCCGACGGCAGGCCGGCGCCGCTGCCGCGGCAGCTGCAACAAAGCACGCGGCGGCGGCGGTACGCTCGGATTAAACGGCTGCCCGGCCCGGGAGCGCGGCCGTCGGCGCGAGCCCGGCCGGCGGCCGCCGAGATCACGCTGCATCAGGGCAAACGGGGCAGCGATTCAGAGAAGGCGCCGGGGTCGCCCGTCACCGAGTAAACACATGACGGCACCGCGCCTCCGGTCACCGGCGCGTGACGTCACGTCACGTGCGCCACCGGCGTCGGCATTTCCACTCCGGCAGCCATGGGCCCGGGCCGACAAGGTCAATGGGGCTAGCGTTTTATGGCCCCTTTGTTTGCGCTGCCTTATAGATCCGGGTGGGTCATGATTGCGCTTACATTACGCTACATTGCGTGAGCGCGCAAGTGTGGTTGTCTGGCTTTCTTATTCGACGCCCGCTTAAACTCATGTAGAAAAAGTGGATGCTGCGTGGTGGACGAAGCAGCTCGGCAAAGAGCGTTGTACCAATGTTTTGATACGCATGTGTCGCAAACAACAACTTGTGATGATTTGGAGCTTGTGCAGTGTAAGCCATGTCAGGTATTCAACTACACTGTAGACGCCAATTTTACAATAATGATGCACGTTTTGGTCGTTTGGTAAAATGCATTTGGGAATTATATCCGCGTAAACCACTTATATTTCGGCTCTGAGATCAAAGTCCGCAGCCGAAAACTCATCTCAAAATGCAGCGCACGTAGCGAATAAAGCGTGTAGTATTGGTGTAAGGCTTTTCTTAATGAATTTGAAAACCGTGCTTGTGTCTAATGAGATGAAGAAAAAAAGGAAACGGGCTGGTGCTTTCCTTTCTAGACAAATTGAATTGTTATGCAAGCAG